TGAGTGGGATTGTGAGAGTGAAACCCTCAGGTCTTTTGGTGTTTATTCAAAACGATTGTTAACCGAACGGGAAAGATAACATCCCCAAGAAAAATGGTCCTATCTCATGAGGAAATCAAATGGCTTTTTACTGTTATGGATCCATTCAGATTAGTGCACAGTGTTCTACATGGTGAACTACTAACCAAACTGAATCCGTTGATATTCGAGCCGCGACGCTCCAAGTTTGATTGTTTATGAAGTTTAAGACAATGGAGATGAAGCTTGAATTGGGCAGCTCAGTTACCTACGGCTTGAATGAAAATATTCGCCTGAGGCGAACGGAGCAGTTATCGGACGGGTGACCTACCGGTTGGGCTACGGCAGTTTAGCCGCACAGTGTTCTCTACATGGTGAACTTCTGTCCAAGAGAAACCATACATTCCCTCTGTATTGGAGCCACGACGGTCCGAGTGTAATGCGTTAGGAACCGTCGGTCCGGGTTGCCGAAGTCTAGACAGGAGCAGTCGAAATGTTGAGGTTAGGTGCGAACCATGGACTCGGCAAGTTATTACCTTAACCAATAAGCCATCTCGAGCTCAGACAACTTTCATAGGAAATACGAGGAAGGACTTTGATAGACTGAGAATTCCAAGTTCGCGCAACGTGAGAGAACAGGCATCAAAGATCTGCCAAGATAGTCACTCATCCGGTGAACGAGAATTCGGCATTTCAAGTCCAGTCTTGGAGGTAACTTTCCGTTCACTTTACATGTGTTGTAAATTTTTACTTCGAGGTTCGTGCGAACCGGCATTGGGGGGAAACTTGCTGTCGATTGGAACCTGGATGACCGAACACGTTTGAACCTGGCCGTGGTAGTTTATCTTACCGTGATCCTCGAGAAAGCAAAACTGCATCTTTGTCACTCTGAATGCCTTGGAGTTAGTTGGTGAGACGACATCTTAGTGTTTACCCAATCGTCACGCTTTTGAGCAATAAAAACCCTTGCGAACGGGGTCATATCTCCCCAAAGACGTGAGATTTCGTACAAGAGATAACTACCCACCACTTGTTTTGTGCTGAATTCAGACCCCATGGGAGTAAATCATAGGCAGTAGGTTTGATTACTTCAGAACAATACACTGAACGCCCCGAGGGACATAATGTTCGATAATTGCGTGCCCTAAATTCGACGCATCTGTCACACTCATCTGGTAGCACCTGTGGACATAAGTAGGAGCGACCAGGCGACAGGGCAGTGGCTTCAAACGGCGTGGTTGATTATTTCATGCACGCTCACATTCGAAACCCAAGTTTTTCTTAAATCTACACACGCTTCGTGGAAACTCGTTTTGAAGAATCTCCACCTGGTTTCTTGTAGGATTTGTGATTAAGCGATGAGTCTCGCTCTCCAACTCACCTGCCGTGAATACCAGGTTTATCTTGTATGTGCAAGTCACGTGCAAAGGTGAGAAGAAAGAACTGTCTCAAACTGACGTGTGTACATTGGCCGAACATCTACAACTGTGTATTTCGAGACAAACGAGCTGACCGTCCCGAACATGGGTAAGAAAATGGGGACACTGTTTCGTGATTGTTATGACGGTTTTGTTGATGTAGAATGAACGACATCAAAGATTACATTTTGGCAAGTTTGACATTCATTTTCAAGGTTGGTTTCAAATTTCATCTTACGAAGCGACCGCTTTGACAATCTGTGGTCCGACACAAAATGGGAACATTTCGAATGCGGTCTTCGGTTGAACAAAAAACTGTCGTTAGGACGAAAAACATCATAAATTGGTGAGTGAATGAGTGAATTTGTTGTTAGGGTGCCTTCTGGTTACAAGTGACTGTAACCAGCCAGTTGACAAGCACAGAGGCAAACCAGTACTGATTGACCCACCGATGAACGTATACAACAACTAAACGGGAAAATATTCCCAAGACGAGCTGAAAACCCACCCTCGATGAGTACACACCTATCCTTTCCTTGAATTGACATGAACATAGGCTAACAACTGTGCTTCTGAGTCTCTAACTAACGTACACGAACTAGGCATTGCATCCATTCGGCGCTACGCAATTTGATGCGTTGAAGGAGGTGAGAGTTTCGGCAAAAACACTCGTTTGTAAATCAATCTGGTCTTCACGAGAGACTCAAGCGAATCTCCCCTTTTATGATGTTCTTCAGCTGAATGTGCTATACACAGACCGCCTCATGTTTCAGTTGGTAAGATCTTCGAGGGAAACTACTCACAAGAGTAGTTTTCAGCAACCTTATGAGTAGGTTTCTTTGGCAAACAAACCCAATGATCTGTAAAAGGGCCCTGTATAAGTCTAATTGTGTTTTATCTTGGTAGTGGACAACAGAAACAAGAACCATGCCAATTACCCCTCAGTCGTAGGATGTCTTCTTATCGACCTGTTCCTCCGAACAGGTCTGCCTCCCGAAATTTCAATCACGCACGTTGTTGCAGTCATGTCCCGCACTAGGAATGATCTTTTTCCCCATTCGTTCTTCCCAGGACTGCCGCAGTCATCATCATCCTCGTCTTCTAATCACATCCGACGTTTCAAGACTGGTCCAGAACACACCGTGATTAACATTTTCGGTTTCTTCTAAGCGGTTTACGCTCATACAGCTACTCTTCTCTGTAGATGAGGAAATAACGACTTTCTCACCCAAACCCCATGGACTGCTGGACTGATTAGGAAACATGGTGCGGATCCGTTAGAATGGAAGGAAATTTCACTGCTGAAGTCAAATAGTTGGTTCATTTTGGACTGATTGACGCCCTTTTGACCTCAGATAGCGTTATAATTCTGGTCTGCTCAGAAGAATACAGTTGGGCTGAGGAGTATTCCATGACGTCTCATCCCGAAACGCACAAGATTTCCGCCTCATCCGTAGCGGAAGTACAAATGTGAGTGACTGCGGTCAGGTTCTGAAATTATCCAACTCAGTCGAGTTCATACAGGCTGTTCCGAAATATCACTCAATGTTCAGTGAATGCGGTCAGGTTCTGAAAGTATCCAACTCAGTCGAGTTCATACAGGCTGTTCCGAAATATCACTACAATGTTCAGCTGACTTTCATAACTGATTGATGCTTGTGGTGAAGTGTAGTCAGGAGGCTATTTTTCAGCAAGATTTGTCGATTTTTACTCACCCATACTTGTACAGCAAGACACCGAACAGAAGAAAATAACAGGAATGTGGCGCCACCTAGAGCTCGGCCACCTCTGTCACCATCCTTCCGGGTGACGCACTAGTCATTTTTGGTTCGGTCCAGACAACTGAATGCTGTGGACCTGCACTGGCGTAAACAAGCCAGGTCAACAGGTACGGGATATGCGGCAGAACGAAGACTACCACGTTCACAGCCGAACCGGAACACCGAAAACGCTGCTTCACTGAGCAAAAAAAGCCAATTTACTGCCCGCAGTTTGTGCGGCGCAAACCCATGTGAGTACCGTTCGGTCCGAATTCACGCAGAGCAAATGAGGTCCAGTTTGATGTGGCGAAAGAGGCAAAAACGCGGCCACATTATGGGAACAAAGTAGATTGTTGAGCCTACAGTTTCCCATGGCTTGCGGTGCGCAACTGATCTGAATTGGTTTTACCTATTCGTTGTTTCCTGTGAGCGAGGTATTTAGCTGAGTCTAGTATTAAAACCAAACGGATATGCAGCTAAGTCTATAGGTGGTCTGCAGGGCCTTCATACTATCACGACTGGCGTCTTGCGTGCATCTGAGCGACGCGGATTGGCCAATCTTCAACGTGCTAAATAAATGTCCCTCGTCTCAACGCACAATAGAAAGTCTGGAGTTGTTCTATTCTCCACACCCTTCTCTAGTGTTTCTGTCTAACAGTTCTATTGGAGACAGTTTAAAAATTTCAATCAAAAGGGTTGGGAACCTGGTGGGGCGCTTTTTATGGTTATTTCGGAACAAATATTCTATTCAACACTATCATCCGATTGTTCAAAATTGATGTCGTGAGATAGCTGCCAACGTGTTGCGACCCGGTGGCCGGCCTTCAGCTAGGGGACCATGAATTTTCGGTCTCATCTTGTTTTGTTCCAAGCAGCTTACGTTAGATACAGGGTTCAAAGCCGACACTTGCACATCGCGGCCGTTAATTCACTTTGAACTGAGCAATCAATGAACGAGCTGTTCAATTCGTGACTTCATCACACAACTGATCAGCCGCTCGTGGCCGAACGTGTGTCGGAAGGCCGTAGGTTCGAACCCCCTACTGGAATTTCCTAAGGAGTGCAATGTTCTTGATTTGCAGCAAAGGTGAAATAGACGTACCGTACTTCTCACTTCACTTGCAGGACGGAAACTCAAGTATATGATTACCTCACACGACTGTAGACTGGTTGAGATTGGTACCCAGGTTGGTTACTGCGGCGTCACCCAGACAGACGGTTAAATTCGTTTGAATGCGACACTCGTTATTTCTTCCTCAAAGGTCACCACCACTTGTTTTTGTGAAAATGAGATGTTGCTAGACTGGCAACTCGGTCCAGATGCACACAAGTGACCACCTTACAGTGAAAGGCCACTGAATACCATTTGACCTTCGATGATGCCGAGGTAGTTACCGGTCCTTGAAAACAAGGTTTGATAAGCTATTTACCGAACACCAATTAAACTAGTGACAACGATACCCACCACTTCACCGTCCAGAATAGGAACCGATTAAGCCGTCCAGAATAGATCGATAACTAGCCGAGCGCGAACGAACCAGACCTGAGACAGATCGCGATTCGCTCAACATTAACTAACAACTGTCCACCTTTACGAAGGACGCAAAATCACCTTCGAGGAGGTGCGACTTGACACGTGCCTATCGGTGGGACAGTCAGTGACAGGTCATTTGCATATCTAAGAGTGGTTGGTCTGCATTCCATACGATCGTGTGCCTCACTAATTCCAGATTGCGCAACCTGGCGTGAGGACGAACAGATGAGTGTAAACACATAGAAGACCGAGGGGTAACGATTAATCATTGTCATCTTGTTTCCAAATGAAAAATTAGACCGTTCAATACAGAGGACATCACAGTTATTGGGAGGGGAGCATATGGACAGGACTATACACATTCAGAGGGGGTTGGGGGGAATCTGTCACACTCGTAGCCGTCTAAAAGTCGGTTTTTTTATCTGATGTAAACAGCCAAGGTATTGACGGCATCGTTTGTGAACGTCGTAGATGATGTCCTATTGAGCGGTCCATTGGAGACTGACTTGAAATATGGGCAACTGTGCGATAACCAAAAGAAGTGATCGTTTTTTGCCTAATTGGTCCTCTCCGGGAACGGGCGGATATTCGCTCCACTGGGATCTGGGGAGAAGAAAGGAGACTCAGGATGAGTGATAATCCGTCTAGCCAAAGCTAAGCAAATCCACTCTGGGTGGAATTTTTTGTCTGACTTACCTGCTCGTCTAAAGCTTCTGAATTCTTCAGTTTGGCTTCCAATGGTTCGTCAAACTCAATTGGGTAATAGTTGTCGACTGGCGTTTCGTCGTCACATCGCAATGGCCGTATAATGCTTATAACCTCACTTCGGGGCAACCCGACACGAGGTGATCGACCACGGAGGCGCTTGAATCCTCCGCGGAATACTCGAGCCAACGGAGTCACGCCGGAATGTATGGAATCGGGGGTACGACCCTGGGAACTCGGGGTGGTGAGCTTGCGAAACGGTGAAGCAATGGCTTCCACAAGAGGGCAACAGAAAAGTAAATCTCCGGCACCCACACTGGAGATGGATGTGGTGGACATAATGGAACAGCGGGTGTTTGCAGCCATGATGGTTTCCGGCGGTGCTGGTAGTAGGTTCAAACTTTCACAACTCCCAAACACATCCGGACGGCAATTTGTGTCAAATATCGGTGATAGCTGATGCCCAGAGTCCAAAATCTGATCAGTTACGTGCGCGTGTGAACCTGGCTTGGACGTGTGTGACTGACTGTACTCAAAGTCCATTTCAGATCGGCACTCAATCAGGGGCTAGAAAGTAAGACATGGAGTACGATTAGCACCATACTCAAAGACTTCGCAAGACTTCAATACATGCCATAAGAGAAATCCGAACACTTACTTTCGGGAGATTGCGAGGACTATTGAAACAGCCCGTTACGCTAACGTTACTTCGCAATGCCAGTCGTCGCTAAAACACAGCGCAAAAAGAAACAGATTAAACAGGGTAAAAGGCGGTGGAAAAGAGCTCAAATCGAAACAAAAACAATTCTTACCCGCAGTGACGAGCGAATCGTTTTCGCTGCTTTAAATGCCGAATTTCCCGCATGCGCGCGAATAAATCTACCGGAAGACACATCTCCCAAGCTGGCCGACCAATCTCGGTTAAGTCTCGGAATTTGACGATACAGTGACGAATGGGGTGTGGCATGTTTCGGCATACCAGCCCCCGACGTTGGCGGCAGCAGACCTCCATTTGTTGCGTTGAATCGGTTTACAAGGCGACGCTTACGCGGATCGTTGTTCGGAAGCGATTGGACGGCAGCGCACAGTTCAGCCACAGCATATTCGGTCTCTCCGTTTGTCACGTGATCCTTGTCTGAAGAGTGGCGTACGGTAAAATTTACACAAGTCACCAATGCGGGCAGTTCGTCCACACGCAACGGAGGCACCACAGCACTGTCCATATCACTGCTGGGTTGGCTGCCGTCTGTCAAACCCAGACCAGAATCATTGGAATTGGCACGTTCCAGGATGCTGGTAGTATAATCGTTCTGCAGGAAAGGTAGGCTGGAACTGGACAACGAGGAATCTGCGATTGGTGGAAGACTCAACTCGATGTACAACAGACGATTGCGTTCCACATCTTGCAGGAAGCTTTTGGGAATGTACCACAGACCGTTGACACCCTGAGTAATCATCATTGTGGCCAGTCGAGCCAAGTTAGTATATTGGGTATGAAGGTCACGTGTTGGAACCTAAGAGAGCAAAATACGGTTGTATATTAGACACAGAAAGGTTGTTTTTCAGGTCAGCACCTTGAATACACATCACCTCAACTCACCTTGCTCGGAGAGAAGAGAACTGGACCAAACAGCAGACCTAGACTTTCCGCAGTCATTCGATTACTGGAAGCATGTTGAAGAGTGTGTTCAAGCAATACGAGTAAGCGTTTGAAGAGGACTTGGTGAGTGTCCGGGAGAAGACGACACAGCAGGCGGACGGCTTTCAGCTGCTTTGCACAGGCGATTTTCTCTTCGATTGGCCGGAGAGTTATACGACGACCGCGATCGTCCAAACGACCTGAGGTAAGACCTACACAAGCAACAACAATATTTGCGAAATAAAAACCTTGGGAACAGACCGGTGGAACGACAGGTTATTATGAAGGCATGTAGCAAAGGGAAAACTTACTGGCAACTTGAACAAACAACGGGAGGAGACGGTCCGTCAACAGGGGCTCTGGGAGATCGTACAAAACTCCTTTGAGCGCAGCGGCCAAATCGTGCACACCCACCATTGGAGACGGGGGCGCAGTCGCTGGGTTCGACGGAGTCAAGTGAGACTGAATCCATCGGCGGTTTCCAAAACCCACTCCAGCTGGTTTCCACGGTTTGGGCTCGACGTAGTACATGAGCGATTGGATATCCAGTTGCTTCTCGGTCATGATTCGACGCCTGACACAACGCTGCCGTTGCATGTTACCAGTTTTGCGGAAAATTCCTTCGTTGGCTAAGTCTAGAGTAGGGAAAGAACATGAGATACACTAGATCACCGATGTGTCGGATATGGCGTTGGGTGACAGAAACCCCGAAACATTCTCTTCGAATCCGATTTCCCTGCCTAGGCTTGGGCAACCTGGCAGTATTCCAGCCACCGTGCTTCCTTCAGGTGACATGGCAGCTAGGCACCGAATGATACGATAATTTAATCCTGTCCCTTATAGTTGCCAGCCTTCGGAGCTGTATGGTTGTGAGCACACTTGCTTGGCTAAGCTGGCTAACCAAGTGAAGACAAGTGGCCTGGATTCAAGGACCAGAACGTCACACAAGGCACCAGGTCTGAACCGGTGATAGTTCAACTATCGTACATAGCCCAGGAATTCTGTCTCGGGTTAAAAACCGACTATCCGTTCCAACTTACTTTCTTTATTGTCCAGCACATCCATCAGAGAGAGCAGGTTTTGCACGATCGCTTCATTCGCACACGTTTTGTTGTTGTTCAAGCCCCCGGATGCGCCGTGTTGGACGCGATTAGGACGATGAACTAAATTTGGGGAGTATAAAAAATAGATTAGCACATCTCACGGAACGCGACAGGACATGTTTTGCATAAAGTGACTTGTCATCGAAGATTTTTCCGATGGGCTATTAAAAGTACACACACAGAGTTGGTCCGAAACGCGATTATTTTGGATTGTGCGGCATTGACACCGGAAGCTATGATAAGCACGAAACAAGGTCGAGTCAGATAAGCACGTTCTTAAGTGCAAAACATGGGACCTTGGGAATGCTGCGAACAGGCAAAAAACGACCCGACGACCTGTGGACTTACTTGCATATCCAATGTTGTCCGTTTCCGCGCGTTCGACATTCGGGGTTCGGCCGCGGAGACGTGCCCACGGTGTACCACGCGAATTCCCATTCGTGATTAGCCGACTGACCATTGGCTCCCGACTAACCAGATCCGGAAAAAGTTTCTTTGACCCGACTACGTTGGTTCCGCAGAAGGTGTTCGAGGAATCGTCCCAGATTTCCAAGGGTAAGTCAATTAGCAGCGACAGGTGAAATTTGCACAGTTCGACAAACCGACCTGGCCATAGTTCACAGAACTGTCGAAATTCCGGCGTCTCAGCGACAGCATCAGCCAACCAGTTGGCGTACTGATTGAGAGAATCCTGCATGTGGACATGGGATGATAAAAGGTTAGAGACACGCCATAGCCTCACTGGGTTGGCAACACGCCACAATCACATTGTTTACATTTACAACACGCCAGCGTTCCACAGACGCTGTCAGCCACTTGGACAACAGGACGTGTGCCAACATGCCGGTTCCCAGGTTGGCAACGGTTGGCCAAGTTGGAACAAGAATGACAGCTTGTTGTTGGAAAGCTCTACTCAAATCTATTGCGGGAAATCAGTAATGCCAGAATATTACAACCCGTCACTTTGTGATGGCGTAGCTAAATCGATCAACAATTTGAAATGCTAGTTACATCAGGTGACGAGGCAGTTGACCGTTCGTGGGGTGCATGTGGATATGTTCATCACTGTTGAATGGAATAACTGACCGGTGTCTTCGGACCACACGGATTCACTGGCCATGCAGGTTCGGATTTGTACCCGGCATCTGCGAAATCTGTATTAGCGCAGGGGACACTGTTGAATGGAATAACTGACCGGTGTCTTGGGACCACACAGATTCACTGGCCAAGCAGGTTCGGGTTTGTACCCGGCGTCTGTGAAATCTGTACTAGCGCAGGGGACTCCGTTAGGAACCTTACATTACACTATGTAGTAATTTCCCAACAGAGGAAATAACCATTACCAGGGGAATTTAACGCCCGCATGCGACTTTCCCAATGTGTTGCCGTCCAAGGTGCAAAATGTCACGTTATGTATCAGACGGGAATCGGAGCCTACTGCTATTTCTAGACTTCCTAAACATACCCTAATCATTTCAGCTTCATCCAATTTGCAATAAATCCACTGGACGTGAGCCCCAAGTGTTATTCTGTAATCAGGTGTCAATTCTAATAAATTACTCAGCGGTCCCACTCCCAAGTTGTCATGCCACCCGAAAGAGGCACGAGGGCTGGAATACTGCCAGGTTCCCCAAGCCCAGACAGGGGAAGTCTAGAGCCAGAGGTCGGGTTAGAACCACGGACCTTCCCGGTCAGTAGATTCGCGCTCTAACCACTTAGCCATCTAGGCATTACCGGCCTGCATAAAGCCTCATTGAATTTTCACTGTGTAACCTGAAAACCGTTCGTGTGTGATTGGTTTAACTTCAAAAGACGTATTTCACACCATCACAGTACCCGTTTTAGTACACAACTGTTTGTGTTAAATTTGTCGTTACTGGCACCCAGCAACCACACCAACCTACTTTTGGTGTGTATGGATTGAGAGCAAGCCCGGGGCAGCTCAGTTGTGAACTAGTTTATCTAAACTGTCCCTTCCCAAATGAGTCCGGTCTGTTAGCTACTAAGGAGGGTAGTGTAACGTATGGCTACCATGATCGGAAGCATCTATAAAATATCGAGATAAACACAAGGTGTAATTGATCGAACGCGTAAAACGTGTGTGCTTTCAATCACCACTTACTTCAAGATCCTCAGGTTTTCCTTGGTTTGGTTTGGGTGTTTTTGTTTCGATGCATGTATCATCTGGATCCGTCAGCGAGGTAGTCATTTTTGCACACATCAAGTAACATCCAGACTGCACAGAGGGCGGAAGTGTTCTGGCACTGGACAGGCAGTCGATTTTATAGGGCTATGCGCTAATCTGCTTCTTGATTGGTTGAACCGGTCGTCGAGTTTGGATCGGCATCTTTCACACGTCCTACACCCCGTCACGGCTGGACAGGCAGTCGATTTTATAGGGCTATGCGCTAATCTGCTTCTTGATTGGTTGAACCGGTCGTCGAGTTTGGATCGGCATCTTTCACACGTCCTACACCCCCGTCACGTCTGAACCAATCAGAAATCGGCATCGCTAGACAAGTGGGTGCGCTGATTTGACAGTCAGGATGTGGAAATGAGTTATTGCACGCGTTTCTGTTGATGCATGGCCTATTGCCGTACCGTCTACATGACCGGAAGGCATTCATTTGACTCTTCTATGGCACTTTGGGACATGCCACTTGCCGGTGTGCTAACTTCGTAGGTGATAGATCATATACGGGTGATAGACGAACACAAAAGATAACATTTAGAAGCTGTCTATCCATGGGCAGGTTAGAACAACAAGGATACCGTTTATCATCCCAATATACATTGAATTGTATTTGTTAGTTCTTAGCATCACTAGGATGCGTTTCTGTCTGAGCAAATTCTTATTCCTACCGAAATTTTAATGCAGAACAGAAAACAAAAAGAATATGACAAGAAAATCAACGCTGAGTAGTAAACTTATGAGACAAAGCCAACTAGCAAGCGAGTGGAAATAGGGGCACTGCTGTCCACAACAGTCTGACTACGACTTGATGAAGTTTTAGCAATTTACAATAAATCATAGTATGAAGGGATACGTCAAACTATATCGAATTGCAGCGGGCTTCCTGGTCAATTTCATCTGGTCTAGTGCACACCACGTACGCTCGATCTTCAAGACGGCGTAGGGAATTCATCTGTTGCACGATAATTCACGGTATCACTTCGGATACATGAATCGAAAAGACAGGAACCAAATGTAGCAGGACGGTGCGAGACGCGTTTCATCGGTATATCTCATTCAGGCACCTGTGTCCTGTGTTGATAGAACTTTCCATACAGGTGCGTCACATGACATTCTAGCCAAACTTCTTTCATAACGTTTTGACACAAATCTTGGGTTCTTTTTCAGATAGGCCCCGCCAAAAAATTAACCCCCGCACCCGAAAACAAAAAATTAACCCCCGCCACCCGAAAAACAATTAGAAGAATGATGATATGGAATTTGATAACTGTTGGAGTCTTCAACACCCGCCAGGCCAAAATTCGCGAAGAAAGTTCTCCCGGTCAACAGCGGTCGTGTGGCTGATAGATAATTCCTCTGAGCAGAATTTGATTTTTGCCAAATTTTTGGACCGCTCCAACCAAGTTCCCCTTCGGAGTCTGATTTCTTGCCGACATTGTCGGGCATTACACCTCCACCTGTCAGAACCAGTTGAAAGTGCCATTTGGTGGCCTTTGTTGCATAAACGTTGCTGATGGATCACTCCATGGCCTTGCAAAAAACGTATTACCGTCTCTTTTTCATGAACGAGTTGAAAGCGTCAGAAAGTTCATTTGAGGTTTTACGTCCGAACGGAGAAAATTCTTGCACAAAAGCAGCCTAGATGCGGATAAGGAGTTGTTTTTATCAAAAAATAGGTCATGTTGGTGTGTGTTGATTAAATGGGACCTGGCAAAATGTGGCGGGGCTTGATTTTTCGCACATGCACCTTTTGCAATAGTGGCGGGGCCTATCTGGAAAGATTGTGACACTGGCTGATGGCCGTCAATTTGTTGCGGTGGACTGAATTGCGAGGTGTTTTCGGTCGTTTCGTCGAATCAGCTCGATATCGCACTGTTCGCCTCGAGCTCAATCTCGGAAGTGATACTTGGATGAGCGGTGTTCAGTGCCTGTTGCATTGATACTATGGTAATTGGGCAACAGTCAGCTAGGATTCAGTCCATCTAATTTTAAAATTCACCACACTTTCCCTTTGCTATGAATATGGGGACTTGGGATGGGAGAAAGTGAGCTGCTCGCGACGATTGCTTCAGTCGGATTGTAGCATTGACCTTCAACGCGGAAGCTAACGATCGGTTCGAGAAACGATCCGAATTTTTCACATTTCAAGATGTTGTCGTTGGTGTACACAAAACCAAATGTGAAGTCCATAGAATGGTGTTTTTGAGAACGCAAGCGGTTTTCAAACTTGCAACGTACTTGGACGTGAAGCCGATACCAACAGTGTCCGGTGGAAGCCATACTTCAAGGCGAAAATCATCAACCTATCAGGAATATTGCTTGCAGTCGGCGTACAAAACCATCAGGTTATTTGTGCTGAAGTGAGTCTGATCTGAGAGTAACGTCTGCTTTTTACCGTTTCAAAGGAGTTGTTGCGTCTAAGTACGCCTGAGCAGTATTCCATCCTCGGTAATACATTCATCTTCCATTAGGGTCTGTCTGTCAGTCTTGGGATAGTTTACTTAAACAGCTAACTGCTCACCGTGATCGCATCCTGTGGGCATCGTCTGACTATCGGCCAGAGACGGCTCATTGACTGAAGCGAAGGCCCGTGATTCGAACCTCGCCGTCTACCATGACTCACTGTCACCAAGTGTGGGTTTGAGATGTGAGTGAAAGCTACTCAAATCATGCATTCCCGAGGGTGTGGAACAAATAGTCAAACGAACAACCAAGTTGCATCCATGAAAAGTTTCTAATGTGTTTGTCGGGACCCGGTAGAGATACTGATTGCTTGAATTAGGTTGTGCTCGACAAACTTCCCAAGCTTTTGTGTCAAATCCACATGGAACTCGTTCAGCACATTGATACGGGATTTCATTTAATTTACTCGGCAAAATGTTATGGGCTTCTAGCTGCCAGACGCAACTGATCAGCACCTAATGGATTGCAGTAGCCCACATAATCAGTGCTCAGAATTTCGGTCAATTTTGCGAGCTTGGTTGGTCTCAATTTTTTCAAACAGTATATCGAACTGTATTAACTTAATCAGCATGGACTACGGTATAAGCTAAGCAGAGGAAAGAAGTCGTGTCATATTGATCCCTGTTACTGATTTATTCCCGCCAGACGCAAATGGGGTTATCGTGATCAATAGATAAGCTTGAATGGCAGACAACCGTGAGTGAGGAGTGCTCAATCTGGTCACTGGAACAGAAGTAATCAGTGTTGCACACAAAAATCAGCACTGAACACTTGTCAGTCCTTGATGGACTATAAGAACGTATCTTCAGGCACGTGGATCCATTTCATTGTTGAAAACGCATCATCATTCACATGCTGAGCCTGATAAGCTCAGCGTGTGTCTCTATCCGTTACATGACCAGCTGGGCGTTCTCACACCAAGAAGCCTCAGGGAGCTTTTGGGCCTAATTAGAGTGAAACAGCTGTTCAACACACTCAGCAAGCTATTGGGGATATTTGCTCATGCCTGTCTATCTCTTCCTGGGCACCCAGCTGAGAAGGGCTGGGGTTTGTTCATCATCAAACAAAATGCACTCAAATACGACTCAAGAGACTGTGGAATAACTTTAACGTTATCAAAGAATACAACAGAGTTTCTTCGCAAAGACAGAATCCGAAATACAGAACAGGGAATTCGAAAGTCATAAGCATCTGCTTGGCAATGAATTTTGCGTAGCAAGGGTTTTTGACAACGTCTACAAGTAGCACAGTGACATATTCAGAGGGTAAAACCTTCATAAATGTTGACTAGAATGCCATCACCATCACCATCACCAACATCATCATCATCATCTTCATCATCATAGCCAACAACAACATCGTCATTGTCGTCCAGTAATAAATCAGTAATACGTACTGATAGTTAAAAGTTATACATCTGTAAAGTTCGTGGTTTACTGTGGGCTCAGAATCTCCCAGGACACTCAAACCTGGGCAGGATGCAGATCGGGTCTCAAGTATTGGAGTCTGGTTTGAGACTACCCGAGTAGCCAAAAAGTTGAAGGACCAATTACCATAGTTATTTGAACTCCCAAAGGGGAGCACCAGAATATTGTGCTCATCGGACCACTGGGCGAACTTGGTGGGTGAAACCCTGTGGATAATATACGGGCGTTCCAGTCCCTTTGAAGTGTGGGGGTGGGGATGAAACTCAGACAAAGTGATCCACAGTCAGAAATCGACCGACAGAGACAAAAAGAGTCATAGCTAAAGTGAAGAAGGATTCCCCAAGCATTCAACAAAGTCAAAGACAATAAACTATTAACAAGATGGCTCCTTGGTTAGAGCACGGATTTACTGTCTGGAAGGACCGTGGTTCGAACCCGACCTCTGCATCTCGACTTTCCCTGTCTAGGCTTGGGCAACCTGGCAGTATCCCGGCCCTCGTTTTTCCTTCGGGTGGCTGGCAGTTAGACATCGAAAGGGTGCTACAGGTGGCCGATATACCTGAAAGAGGATGAATGCAATCAAAACATTACCATATCTTTCCCACACAACTGTCATAAGAAAGTCGGTGGATCAGATCTATCCCCCGGGTATCTTGACGTTCATGTATCTCATTTCAAGACGTATTACGCTGAACTGATTGCATTGTTTAGGTGGATTCTGACCACAGAGTCCTTTAGCTATAACCGTTCAACTTCAATGTGGACATTCAGGCTGGGAATAGCATCCAGTTTTGGATGGCCCAGACGAACAAGCTTATTTCTGGCGGCTCTATTCTGAGTGGTACACTGGAATGAACCAGGATTTTTGGGTCTGCAAGGCCTTCAAACTGGACTCGAACTAATGTCTACCTTCGTTAAGGATCACACCTAGTTATAGACGCACCACCTAGAGGCATCGACCGGGTGTACTGTGCACAGCGGAACTTGGCCACTGAATTACACTTCAGCCTACCCAGAAGGGATGTTCAATCCTGGAAGGATAAATTTATCTCCCCGGCACTTGCATCAAACTGCCAACGGGTAATTCTCCTTGACAAATATGAAACTCACATTAAGAGTGCTCCAAATCGTTTATGTGAGTGCTAACCTTATGAAGATGTCGCGAAACCGGGCTGTCATCTCTCCGGTTCTTCTCTGTGGTTTCCAGACCTGGCTCTTAGGAGTTGAGGTCGTCGAAAACTGTTGGTTTTGATCAGTTTTTCTTACGAGGACTACTTGTCACTGCTTGTCACATTTTCCTCTTCTAGGGAACGGCGCGCAAAGCCAAATGCCGAAAAAACTGTTTGTAGCGTCCAGTTGGTGAACGGATCATCACGTGATTGAGCACAAGGAGACCTGACCTCTGCAAGCCCAGACCAGGCTAAATTCAAAGGAATAGGGAATGGATACACCTATTCTCCGACCTCGCACCTATGTTGCGGTAGTACGATCAGAAACTTTGGTACAGAAGACTCATACAATTAGGTATGTGATAATCCGAAGCACACCAATGCGTCGTATTCCAAACCCGACAGGATTGTGAAGTAGGCAGATTCACAAATATATATCCTTTCTTGCGTAGACGTAATACACTACTCACTACGTTACTGAAAACTCTCCAACAGCAACACTACTCATTAGGTTACTGAAAACTCTTCAACAGCAAACGACAAGTTTCGCCACTTTTGGGGTTCACCAGTCGGGCGCAGTACTCAGATTTGTGCCAATCTTATGTTCTTATGCGTCTGTGCTCGCAATATATGGAATATCGATCTTTGTGTGGGAAATTGAGTCGAACAATATCATAAGCGAGAGATTCAGCTGGGATTCAATTAAAGTCCCTTGAAAACTAAACCAAATGAGTGTATCGAATCGAATCCTTCATTTTTTCTATCCATTTCCGCATCTAAACATCTCATGGTAGTGTGAAGACGAATCTACCCGCGTGATGACTTCTCATGCGATGGGCACATGCTGCTTGTAGCTTGGATGAACTTGATTTCAGTATCATTTTGGGTCATATGCTGTTACGAACCTAGATTCTGTTGCGCTTAGTTGAATTAATGAAACTTTAAAAAAATCAATCCCGTTGGCTTCTTACATAACAGTATCCCAACTTCAAAACTACACCGCCATCCATTCAAACGAGCCTGTATAACTACCCGCTTTCCGAATCCGTACCCACAGAATAACAGTGGTTGCTAGGTCGAAGATTGTCACGTTCGGCATTAGAACAACGCGGTTGAGTAATAATCTGAGTGCTACTCATATCCACGGGCCATTTTACGGTCACCCGGCAGTTCCACACACGCGCGCACACACACATCGTTTTGCCGTCTCTTATGACTGACATGCTTGCTCGTAGCCCAGTAACACGGAACGAAAATAGCGTGGCTGGAGAGCGTAGCGGGATGTTTCGTTTTTAAAGTAATTATCCACTCATGGAAGCTGTAATCAGACACACAAACGCCCATATGGCATGAACTGGCTAACGTCGTGATCATCCTCTGTGTGGAAACTGATAAGATAAGGGTAGGCCTTGAGTTGTATGCCAAAAAACGTCGAAATATAATGACCACGTGCGGCGTCATCATCATCATGGGGCTTGACTGGTTGCTACCATGAGGGCGATTCACATGCTAGACCCCATACTCCTTCTAAATGAAGCACATTTTTTCTCGAAACCAATATGTCCGAAATGAATTAAAGCGAAAACCGGGCTTAAATATGAAATCGTTGCCCCTATAAGGCTATTTGTCTGGTGGTTTCTAAGGGGAAATTAAAGTTTTGAAAAATACTAGGGTTTAAGGAAATTCGCCCGGACAGTGAGAGAATAGCGTGAATGAAACAAGATATGGATTTTTCGCCGAAGCAAACCATGCTCTGTACACGTAGGAGCAAGGTCGTTGAATACCACTCATTCCTATGTGTATCTTATTGGTTTCGGAAGGATCGTTTCCTGACTTCTGGTGATCACGGACTATGTAGACTGTTTCCCGGTTTAGGCAGAATGGAGTCATCTCTGGGTGACTTTGGGAGATTTTCAAGCAGCTGACAGACTCATCCTTTGGGTTCAACACCAAAGATGTGACAGGTGTATGTGTCCCCATTCGACAAAGCAATCGAAAACACAACCGACCTTGTCTCGACTGATGCATCAATCTCTTAAACGCGAGAGTACGAACCGAACTCCAGACCTGCCTGTTCACCGATGATGCGTTCGTTGTCTTGGACATTTTTTATTTCAAAATCAACAACCTTTGTCAGAACTGAATTTACTTTGCCAGAACCGATACCACACGGTCGCCTTCAAATGTTATCCTTAATTGTAGGCATCGAATCTAAAATGGACTGCCACATGACGAGTTTCAACCCTTTTTTGTGAGCGTTCTGTTAGTACCGACTGTGAACAAAGCCGAATCACACAAGTAAGTCGACGGCGTTGATACACAAAAGCAAGCATACATGAACCTCATTCTTTGTTCAATACACAAGGCGCCCTTTGTGAGAAGAACCAGGGTCTACGTGTGCCGCAATCACATCTGGATCCGGATCATGGCTCGGGAGTGATGTGGTTCACCGATCGGTCAGATGGGGTCAACTGTTTGTTTGAACTGTTGACCTTTCTTGCACGGACAATCGGTTATAGTGCGGAAGGGGTGGACAGAGAAACGTACAAGGCTATCTAAAGTTTGTCCAAGAAGCTCAGCCTATTAGCGGGTTCGAAGTCGTCCAAAGTCAGTAATACAGCTGAGATTTTTCGACATACGGACCCACAGTTGTGATGAGATTTGATTGCAGGCCCAGAATATGATGCTTCTCATAGAATGAGTCATGTTTAATGGACTTTCGAGCATGTGGTTTAGGCTACGTGGCATTTCTAAACCTGGTGAACTCACAAAGGGGTCGTTTACTACCAATTATCGACATTTTCTGTAATCTCCATGTAGAGAAACTCAGAGGTTAAACAGAATAGTGAGAGAAAATGTCGATCTCTTTATTTGAACTAACCGGAAAAGGGTGAACCTGAGAAGAGCTGATAGGGATCATCATCGTCGACAACATGACATCAGTGTTCAACACCGATGCTTCACTGCCTTATTGTGAAGAAAAGAGTAAAAGTGGACGGGGAGGAGACTTAGTGCTAGCTTAACACAATCATTCCGAGGAGCCTATACCTCCAGACACTCACTCAGGCGATTAGGTAGAAACTGACAACAAGAACGGCACTGACATCGGTTGGCAGTTGTAGTGTCTCCAACCAGGCACAGTGAAGATCACGCGGGCTCCATCCTGGATGGCGAGTAGCACCGACTGCACCCAAGTGTCTCGTAATCTTCTTCATACCCCTGTGCCCGGTCAAAGGTTGGCCACCTCGCTGCTTCCGCCACGCACGGAAAACAGCACTCTCTTCGGCAAACGATGGTTCGGCATACGCAAAACACGGCCTAACTAACGAAACTTATGGTTCAGAGCACTTCTTCAATG